TTATGACAACCACAAGGAGTATAATATGCTCTAGGGTTTATGTCTAGTAATCTTTTTTGTACTCCTTGATTTTTATAGAGTAGGGATCAACAAGAAAAAAAGTAAAGTAGGACCGTATTGCTCCCAATCAAGATCTCAAATTAGATGAGAAAAAGGAATTGAGAATGAAATTGGAGAGAGAATGAGAAAGAGATAGACTAGAGAGGAAACAAAGAGATTGAAAATTTGTCATCTGTAAAAGATAAAAGTAAGTAGTAGTGACAGTTGAATGTTGAGTGACTTTTCATTTACAAAAACTAATAAATGAGTTGTGGTCTTTTAAGTAATTTTAATAATAAGAAAATAAGAGATATAAAAAATATAAGATATGTATCTTATAAAATATTGGACCTTATCTCAAATATTATTAATTTTTTAAAATTAGTTTATATCAATAATACTACTATTAAAAAATTTGGAGGCCTTATAAGTTTAGGAATTCTAGGCATTGGCCTTAATTGCCTTATTAAATGTTCTGCCCTGCGTAGATGCTGATGAGGTTTTTGCAAACACACCACTTGCCAAGCGGACTAAGTTTCGATGTAGTAATTAAGTATCGTCCTCAGGGATTTGAGAGTTTAGTAATTCTTACTCCAATGATTAATAAAGAGATGTTGATATGATTGGAAGTGAGTTAATGTGAAAGAAAATTAAAACGGTAATGTAAAAGTTATAAGAATAATTATATAAAACAAGGATTGGACCCAGAAGCACTTACTAACTTTCCTTAAAATAAATATGATTTCATCTTCATGACTTCCACGTTCATTTAGTAATTCAACAAGATCCCTCAAAATTGAATCCTAAAGTAATTAATCTCAAAACATGATTCCTCTATGTTTTCAGACTAACACCTTGCATTAAGAACAATGACTTGAACAAAGGTGACTAACCATATCAAGTCTATCCCTAGAACAAGAAATGATTAGGTGAAAGATTCAGTTCGGGTTCTTAAAAATGTTTCCCAATAGGATTCAAAAACCAAATATTCATATAACGGGTGATCAAGCCGGTATAAGCATTAAAAGTAGAATCAAGTACAAGTAATAAGAACGAAATGCATATATAGATTTAGGAAATAGAAGAGTTAGTAGTTACACCAGGACCAATCCTCAAAAGATTTAGCCACACATGGCCATTACGAGATCAGAGGAGTAGAAGAAGAAATCACAAATTAAAAGATGAAGAGAAAGGGTTGATCTTCATTCCCAAATGATCCAACTTCCCAATCTTCACTCTTGCCCTATTTTCTCCTCTTCGTGCTCCCAATCCTGTTTTTATCTTTGTGTTTCGTGATCCCCTATTTCTCAGATTTTCCACTTTTATATAAGCTTTAAAACAGGGGAAGAAAGTGATTTTTCCTCCCACAGCTACAGTTGTAAAACCACAGTTATGGTTGTGGAGAGTTCTTCGTGGTGAAGTAAGCTTCACCACTTCAACTATGGATCCATAGCCATATAGCTGTGGAGACTCCTTCGTGGTTAAGCAACTCCCAACGTTGTAGCTATGAAACCACAGCTATAACTGTGAGTTTCTGTAACTTTTCTTGATCTCCCATGCCTCAACGCTTTAGTCGTGAACCTGTAACTTTAGCTCCAAGTCTCAAGACTCAAAAATGTGCATTCCAAATTTCCACAGCTATATCTACAGAACCACGGCTATAGCTGCAACTTTCTGACCTCCTAATTCCTTCCCAGATTTCCACAGCTCGAGCTCCAGATCCACAGCTACAGAACCACAACTATAGCTGCAACTTTCTGACCTCCTAATTCTTTCCCAGATTTCCACAGCTCGAGCTCCAGATCCACAACTATGGTTGTGGATCTCTGCCTTCTCAAATTTTCTACACAAATGGAGGAAATTCATTAAGATTTTGTTACTACTCTTCTACTCTTTTAGTATAACTTGATTCTTTCAATTTAGGGGGTAAAATAACATATATAAATATCTACAATTACCAAAAATAGTACCAAAATTTGAGTGTAAATAAGGAATAAAAGACACTCAATAGATGCATATCCTTAGTGTAGACATCCTACTTGTGGTGGAAGCCAAGTGGTTAGATGTCAACATCAAAAAAGGATAAGATGTCTCATGGTTCATTCAAGACTCCAACAAACCACATGTTCTTGTCTAGTTACAGCTTTGTCATCTTGCCATATGACAAGCTCTCATTGATTTTTTTAGTCTTAGGATAGTGACATTCCAATCATGTAACTAGAGTTGGTTATCTTGAGTATAAGTTAACTAACCTTGGTTACACTTAACCCAGGTTAGTTTAGCTTGCACTATAAACTAACCAAACTCTACATATTCTTTCTCCTCATTGTAGTTGATTACCTTTGAGCATTTTGAGAATAAAATTCAAATTTGTTCTCTCTAAAAGTCTAGTTCTCACTCTTGGAAATTCTTTCCTTATGAAGTTTTATCAAGGAATCCTTATTTGTGGCAAGTTCTTCACATTCTTGCTTATATTCATTTGAAGTGACACATACCTCTTCCTTCCTCCTCTATCATTTGAAGTTTTCTTTTGAGTTTTGTTATCCATAGAAAAAGACTGGACACACATTCATGTGGAAGAGAACGGTGGAGATATGCAACACTTCAAGTAAAATTAGATAAGAATGTAAATAATTTGTCATAAGGAAAAATTCCTAAATAAAACTCATAAAGATATAATTTCTTTATGAGAAAAAACTAGACATTTGAAGAGAAAAAATCTTATACGTATTTAAATAATGATATAATCCATGGTCAAACCTTATTTACTTCCTAATCAAGTTAGATTAAAAAAATAATGATATATCTAAATACATTACAAAATAACACAATATATATACTAAATATACATAATTAAGAAAATACGGTGATACATGATTTGAATCCACTCCTTCCTTATTACTCTTCAACCCTCTCCCACATACGATCTAAATCATCTTATAACTCCTATTAAAGAAAGCAAGGAAATAATAGTAAATAATTATTATGTTTAAAATTATAAAACTTCTACAATTCTGTGATACATGTGCAACATTTAGATTACTATATTTAGCTTGAATTAGTTATATGTGAATATATCTTAAATAGGTTATTTATTAATAAAATGGGAATTTAGAGTTTTTTACTCAAATAATACTGTTTTAAAAAAAAATTACCCAAATAGCAACCGTGCAAATTTATTTCCCCAACTAGCATCATTTACTGTTCACGTTCAGAATGAGTCATTCTGATTTCAGAACGAGCCGTTCCAGATTAAAAAATAACACATGAGAAATGGATCAGAACGGACCGTTTCGGATTCAAAAATTGCACATAAAAAGTGGAACTAGAACGACTGTTCTGAATTCGAAACGGGCTGTTCTGGCCTAAAAATAAAAAAAATTTGGTTCGATTTTCACTTATCAAATACCAAGAGTTAGAAACTAACATCAAATAATTAAATTTATTGAATATTAACATTATAAATATAACTAAATAAATTTATTAAAATTCAATACAATAATAAAGATCAATGGTGGCAGAAATTGATTATGTTGTTCTGTAATGTCCATCTCTGTTTTAATCCTGCTGGACTTTGGCCACCCTTGAAAGTTCTCTTGAATTATGGATTTGGCCACAAAGTTGAAGTTGGACCAGTGGAAGTAGGCAAATAATCTTCATGTGGAGCTCTCCAAACTATCATTTGTATACCTTTGCAACTTATTGTAAGGTATATATGGGAGATATGTAGGTTTGATAGTCGTGATGTGCACGTAAGCATGAAGCGAGTATATACGAGCAAGGGATATGAACTTTCTGGAACTTGTCGCAATCACACTACATTACATTTAGCCTTATTATAAATCTCCCAGCGAGTCATGCGAGCAAGGGATATGAACTTTCTGGAACTTGCTGCAATCATACCACATTTCATTTAACCTTACTGTAAATTTCCCAGCGGGTCAAACTTCTCTCGGATGTTACGTTTCTTCCAACTTTGTGGCCAAATCTAGAACTTAAGAGAACTTTCAAGGGTCGGCTAAAGTCTCACAGGATTAGAACAGAGATGGACATTAGAGAATAACATAATCATATAAAAAATTGTTCCTATTGTCACACCCCTGGTCACACTAGGAAGACATATCCAAATATTGGTCATGAATTCAGTTTTCGCCACCATTGATTTTTATTGTTGTAATAAAGTTTAATAAATTTATTTAGTTATATTTATAATGTTAATATTTAATAAATTTAATCACTTGATGGTAGTCTCTGAGTTTTGGTATTTGATAAATGAAAATTAAAAAAAGGTTTGAATCTGTAGGCTAGAACGACCTGTTCCAGATTCAGAACAGCTCATTCTGATCCATTCATCATGTGCTATTTTTTAATCTGAAAGGGTCCGTTTTAAAATTAGAATGGTCTATTATAGACATGAACAATAAAATCATGCTAGTTGGAAAAATAAATTTGCAGTTACTATTTGAGTAAAAAAAATTTTAAATGGTATTGTTTGAGTAAAAAACTCGGGAATTTAATTTGGTGATTAAGTCACGTTATTAATTATAACATTAAAAAGGAAAAGAAAAAACGTAGCTTTTCGATTTAAAATTACTCCAACGGCTTTATATCTTCAAAAATACAATTCCAATGAGAAAATGATTGTTTGCGAGAATTCGGGATACACGAGGCAATTATATAAAGACAGCAACACTTCCGGATTTCCTCAAAGCTCTAACTTTTTAATATAATACTTTTACAACGATACATAAACAAGTCACAAGTGGATTGTTACCAGCTTCGTCCAAAAATTATTTCGCATTATATTTTCGTATAAAGTAAAGCTTAATGGTTAGGATAGATATTTTCTCCAATTAGATAGAGCAAATACAAGAAGCAGACCTATACCTTAAACACGTAACCAACCACAATTATAACTTATAATAAGAGGTAGAGTAAGAGCATATGAAAGCAGCAAGCAAAGCTAGAAAATGGCTGAGAATACTATTCACGTAGTTATGCTTCCATGGTCTGCTTTTGGCCACTTGATACCATTTTTCAAACTTTCCATAGCCTTAGCCAAAGCTGGTGTTCGTGTCTCCTTCATATCAACTCCCAAAAACATTCAAAGGCTTCCCAAACTTCCTTCAACTTTATCTCATTTGGTTGAATTGGTACAACTTCCTTTGCCATCATTAGACAAAGAGCTCTTGCCAGAAGGTGCTGAGGCCACAGTGGACATTCCATTTGAACAAATTCAGTACTTAAAGGTTGCATATGACCAACTGCAGCATGCGGTGAAGCAATTTGTGGCAAAACAGTTGCCAGATTGGATAATCTGTGATTTTAGTCCCCACTGGATGAAAGACATTGCTCATGAGTTTCAGGTAAAGCTATTGTACTTTAATGTTTTATCTGCTCCAGCGGTGACATTCTTTGGACAACCAGGTACAAGGAAAACTCCCATTTCACCAGAAAGTCTAATAGCATCACCAGAGTGGGTGACATTTCCATCTTCAGTGGCTTTTCGAAGGCACGAGGCAAAAGCTATTTATGCTGATGCCAACAAAAAAAATGCTTCCGGGATAAGTGACTTGGAAAGGTTTTCCAAGGTAATCATTTCCTCTGAAGCTGTATTATTTCGCAGCTGCTATGAGATTGAAGGAGAATATCTGAATGCATTCCAACAACTAGTTGGGAAGCCTGTGATTCCCATAGGTTTATTGCCCATAGAAAGGGCAGAGAGAGAGAGAGGAATTGTTGATGAGTGTAGTGGTGATATATTTGAGTGGCTTGATAAGCAAGCATCCAAATCAGTTGTATTTGTGGGGTTTGGTAGTGAGTCCAACCTGAGCAAGGATCAAGTTTTTGAGATAGCTTATGGACTTGAGGAGTCTCAATTGCCATTTTTATGGGCATTAAGAAAACCAAGTTGGGCAAGCACTGATCAGGATTCTGTACCTTATGATTTTCATGGAAGGACATGTAATAGAGGAATTGTTTGCAAGGGATGGATACCACAAGAAGAAATATTGGCACATCCATCTATTGGGGGGTCTTTGATTCACTCTGGCTGGGGCTCTGTCATTGAAACCTTGCAGTTTGGTCTCAGCCTAGTTGTATTACCCTTCATTATAGATCAACCTCTTAATGCAAGGTTTTTGGTGGATAAGGGTTTAGCTATTGAAGTGAACAGAAACGAAGATGGGTCGTTCACTAGAAATGACATTGCTATGTCTCTTAGACAAGCTATGGTGTTGGAGGAAGGAAAGAAGATCAGAATTAATGCAGGAGAAGCTGCTGCAATTGTAGGAAACTTGAAGCTGCACCAGGATCATTACATAGCTGCATTTGTTCAGTTTCTTAAGGATGGAATCTGGATATAAATATGAAGTTGAAGAGTTGGGAAAAGTAATCTGTGTTGTGTTGTGTGGCAATGTTTCATGCTTGTAGTTTAAGTTTTACTGTTTCATGTTTTAACATTCTCTTTATAAAAAAATCTGTGTATCACTGTTCTGTTTTAACAATTTGAACAATCATTTTATGTAAAACGAATTACTTGGCTAGCAGTGACTAGTGAGTGGGTTTTTCTTATAGATCTTAACTTCTTATTGTTAGAAAAAAAAAATAATTTTAATTTTAATTAAATTTTTTTTTATTTAATTACTTTTTAAAAAAATATTTTATCTAATTATTTATTTTGTTGTTGCGCGTTAGAAAAACTTGTTGCACATTGGATTTAATTTCCAAGTTTGTTGCCACATTTAGCTACTTCTTTTGGTTGAAAGTTAACAGTAAAATATCTAAATGTATATGGTTTTGTTCAGAGAACAACACACAGAACATTACGATACTACACTATACAGATTACACCAAATTATCACTTTCTTTAAGAATTATTTTTTATTAGTAAATATATTGTGAAACAGTGTGATGGAGCTAGGTGAAGAGAATTGATGTTCTCCACTAGTTCCATGCTTGGACCGAGATGCTTCTTGAGGTTGGAACCTTGAGATCTCTGAATTCTCCTTTGAAGAAGCTCCAAAGGAGGAGAAGTCTTTGAAGGAGATTCGGCCACTCCTTAATCTTGTGAAGGAGCTTGAGGAACCAAGCAAAGTTTGAAGAACTTTGCTAGAAACTTAGAGAGAAAATTTCTCACGGTTTTGGAGACTCTTGATTAAGAGAGAAAATCTGATTTTCATTCTCTAAATTGTTCAAAAGTGATTACAAAGGTAGGAGTTACAAATATATAGGGAAAGGTAGCTTGTAGGAGAAGCTATCCTTAACCATGGTTCATTAGGAACCATGGTAAGGTGAACTTAACTCCTACGGTTTAGGAAGCTTGCAAGAGAAGCTAACCTTGACCATGGTTCACTTAAGAACCATGGTACTTAAGAACCATGGTAAGGTAAGCTTACCTTGCTTGAGTTTAGAAGCTTGCAAGACAAGCTTCAAAACTCAAGAAAGTTACTTAGAAATTTCGGCCAAGAGAGAAAGGATGAGCTAGGCGGCCTTGAACCAAAAATGCTCCATGATTTGATTTGAAAATTCTTGATTTGGTTTAGTTAGGTTCATCATATGATGATGAGACCTAGCTAAATCAAATCTATGAAAAATTAGGAGCAAAATGAGTCCAATATGCAAAATTTTGCCTAGGCCCAACTCAGGCCCAATTTCTAAGCACACTCCCTAGCTTTGCTAAATGTCACCCCCTTTTCCCTACTGAAAAAATACAAAATGAATGTATCAACTAGGGAGGTTAAATGGAGTTAAACTCTCCAAGTAACCTACCTTGAAATCAATATACAAACACTAGAAAAAGCAAGTAAAGTGCCTCACAAATACAAAGGCAAAAATAACCTATACAAAAGACTATGTATAAACTGTACAATATAAACAAGTAGAACTAGGCCTTCTCTTCATGATAGAGCATTCCAAGTGAAGATTACCTTGGGCTTGACAAGCCCACTAGTCTTTACATGGTCCAACTCTTCCTGTATTCTTCTAGCCATAGCTTTGGTCACTAGGCCCTTGGCCCATGATCTATCATAGTGTCCTTTTATTTGGAAATTTTTTCTTCACGACCCGATGATTGTTATATAGTAAGCAAGAGTGTATTACAAATTAATATATCAGTTCAGTGAAGCATTTCCTTCGATCCAAACTTATTTAAACTCTTATTTTTATTTATTATAGTCTATTATTTTATTTTATCATTTATTAATGTTCATCTTAATATATTTCATTCATAAATAATATATCTTTTATTTCTTGTTTTTATTTATATATATATATATATATATATATATATATATATATGAGAGGAGAGATTTACTTATTCTAAGTCTAAGTTTATTTAGACTTACTTCATTCAATAACTCGTATTCTATATTAAATTTTAATGATTCAACAGTTGAATTAAAATTTCTTAATGTATCTATCAAATGTACAAAGTTTTAAAATTTTTGAAAACTTTGTAGACTTGATCTATGTATTAATAATTTTTAATTCAATGATTGAATTGTTGAAATTTGATATAAAACATGAGTCATTGAGTGTAGTAAGTCTAGGTAGACTTATTCTAATATATATATATATATATATATATATATATGTGTGTGTGTGTGTGTGTGTGTGTGTGTGTGTGTGTGTGTGTAGCTGTGTAAGTTAATGTATTTATCATTTTTTACTTTAATTAAGAAAATGTATTCTATATATATATATATATAAATTATCTATCAATTTAAATTAATGAAACGAGGTATCAAATATTTTTCAAATTTTATAAAAATTTGCAAACTTGATTTATGCATTAATAACTTTTAATTTGATGTAAAACATGAGTTAATAAGTTGAATAAGTTTAAGTAAACTTCTTATAGTAAGTGGGTCCCTTATCTCTCTCTCTCTCTATATATATATATATATATAGGGAGAAATAGAGACACATGTATAAATATATAAAGTTTCAACTAATGCATACTCAAAGGTCTAAAAACAACCTATATTAAAAATAAGTCAAGTCAAACTTTAATTCCATGACTACAAAATTAAATATCAATTTTTTAAAAAAATTTATACATATATACATTTATTTTATCTTGTTATTATATTGATATCACGTCCGTCAAATAAACATTTTTATATAAGCTTTATAATATTATACATATTAACTATTCAAATAAATTACTTATCTCTTATGTAATTTTATATAAGTGATTTGTGTTATATGTAACAAAAATGCATATATAAAAGAATGAATTTTTTTTGTTGTTGAAAGTTCAATTATTATTTATAACGGTTTTATTTCTCTTAATTTTTTATACATATTTTCATAGTTTAATTTTTAAAATAGTTTTGAAAAATAGAACACTATCTATGTTAGACTAGTTTTAATTATTTTTTAATAAACTTATACAACTCATTTATCTAATTTCATAAAGTATAGTACTTACATTTTGTATGATATTAGGTAATTTTCAATAAAATATTTTTGATCGAAGGTATAATAACCAATTAAATTAATTTTATTTGTGTCTAATAAAAAATTTACATTGTATATTTTTTTCCTTTGTACATATTTCCATCTTATTATCCTATTCTAGTTTAATATAGAATTGTTTATGCAATACTTATTTCACAAGTAATGAGAAAAAGAAAACACTAATAGGCATGGGTTGCTTACTAGTTTCTTCTAAATCTAACTAATTTTATGTTATATATTATTTTTTATTATATTTTTAATTGAATATTTTCAATAATTTTTCTTTTTTACTTATTGAGATGTGTATTTTATATACCTTTTTTTGTCAATTAGCAAAAAAAATATTTATCAAAATTAAATCCTATATATTAAACACAAATTTCTATTTTGCATGAGAGCATTTTTAGGGGTTTTTCTTCAATAAGAGGGTTTTTAGAGATTTTTTTAACTTCTTAACTAATTTGATTTTTATTTATCATAATTATTTATTATTTAAATTTTAATATTTTAAATTAATTATCAATGAATAAAATAATATTGTATAAAAATATAAATTATATATCATACATATAAAATATAATTTATATATTTAAAAGTATCTATTTTTACAAATTTTAAATATAATTTATATATTCAAACATAATATTTATTTGTATACATTATTTTATTATAAATTTTAGTTACATATAATAAATATTTAGCATGTACATTACATTTTTAAGATCATCTACATTTCTTTAGTGTTCTTTTTTAGTATTTATTATTAATTTTATTTAGTTTAGTGCACACATGACTAACAAAATAAATAAATCTAAGATGATTAAGATAATAAACAATAATTTTACTTAACATTTTTAAATTATTTTTTAAGTGCATAATTCAATTAAATAATGTATTTATTATTTTATATTAATAAGGTAATTTACTTCTATATAATTAATTTTAATATATTATGAACATTAATTTTTTTATTTTAATAGTATTCTTACTTTTCAATTCACTAATTTATTTTAAAATGTATATAATTTAATTGGACCCTTATAATTTAATTTTATTATGTTACTTTTATCTTTGGAAGCAGAATAATTAGTAGTGGGCTATTAAAAATTAAATTATATTAGAATAAATTAAAACTATTTTGTCAAAATGTAAAAATAATATTAAAATTGTATTATTAGTGTCTAAGTATATTATAATATTTTAAAAATAATATTAATATTAATTTAATGAAATGAAAAGTAAGAACAATAAAAAATTATTCATAATATATTAAATATTAAATAGTAAAAACTAAGAAAATTATAAAAGTAGAATATATGTAATTATCTTATGTATATAAATAATAAATAAATACTTAATTAAATAGTGCGCCTAAAAATATTGTAATGATATTACATTGAAATATTTTTGTTATATTAATTATCTGAATTAATATATTTTATTTTCTTACTCTTACTCGTATTAATATTAGACTAACTTCAGTCAATGGTAAGAACTAAAATATGATGGAGTCATGTTTACAAAGAATTAAAATATATTTAAGCGTTATTTTTTAACTACCTATCTATTTTGATTTAAAAATAACCTTGCATTCAATTCCACATTATTGAATCGCGAATCAGTTAAAAACCCTTTTTACATAATAAATTGGTTCAATTTTTTTCAAAATTATGCTTTGAATTTTTGCACACTCCACTTCAAAACAAAAGCACTATGTGCTGTATTGTCTGTCTACTACCATATTCCCAGCTCTTCACTAATGAGTCAGTTCAGATTCTGAAAATTGAGGGTTCAGTTATTTGCATTGGTATCTTGCTAGAATTAAATCAAACAAAATAAACAATACTTTGATTGTATCAGAATGAGTGGGAGTGGGACTACGAATATGATCCCTTTATTGGGTGGATCTGAAGAACGCTTAGAAAAAGATTATGTGTTGGATTGAATGCCAAGTAGGAACATGTTTGATGAAATGAATGAAGAGGCTGTGTTCTTGTTTACAAGAATGAATGAGTTGGGTTTCATGCCAGATGAATTCTCTCTTAATACGCTCCCGTTTTCACGCACACACTACTTGCATCCACACTCGGGTTACTCTTTATTTCACGCATCTGTCAGTTCTTATTGTTATATATAACAGACAGGGTTGATATAAAAATATGGTTAGGGTTGATATATTCTCCTGTTTCGTAGAGCATATGCAGCAAGCAAACCTAGAAAATGGCCGAGAGTACAATTCATGTAGTGATGCTTCCATGGTCTGCCTTTGGTCACTTAATACCATTTTTCAAACTTTCCATAGCCTTAGCCAAAGCTGGTGTTCGTGTCTCCTTCATATCAACTCCAAAAAACATTCAAAGGCTTCCCACACTCCCTTCAACTTTGGCTCATTTGGTTGATTTGGTGCAACTTTCTTTCCCATCATTGGATAAAGATCTCTTGCCAGAAGGTGCTGAGGCCACACTAGACATTCCATTTGAAAAAATTCAGTACTTGAAGTTGGCATATGACCAAATGCAACATTACGTGAAGCAATTTGTGGCCAATAAGTTACCAGATTGGATAATTTGTGATTTTAGTCTCCACTGGATCCCAGACATTGCCCAAGAGTTTAAGGTAAAGTTAATATACTATTCTGTTTTCTCTGCTTCTTCAATGACAACCCTCGGACCAAGTACAAGGAAAGTTCCCATATCTCCAGACAGTCTAATAGTACCACCTGAGTGCGTGACATTTCCATCATCAGTGGCTTTTCGAAGACACGAGGCAATAGCTTTTTGTGCTGATGCCAACCAAAAAAATGCTTCAGGGATAAGTGACTTGGAAAGGCTTGCCAAGGTATTCATTTCCTCTGAAGCTGCATTATTTCGCAGCTGCTATGAGATTGAAGGAGAATATCTGAATGCATTCCAAAAACTAGTTGGGAAGCCTGTGATTCCCATAGGTTTATTGCCCATAGAAGGGGCAGAGAGAGAGAGGAATTGATGAGTGTAGTGGTGATATATTTGAGTGGCTTGATAAGCAAGCATCCAAATCAGTTGTATTTGTGGGGTTTGGCAGTGAGTGCAAGCTGAGCAAGGATCAAGTTTTTGAGATAGCTTATGGACTTGAGGAGTCTCAATTGCCATTTTTTTGGTCATTAAGAAAACCAAGTTGGGCAAGCACTGATCAGGATTCTGTACCTGTCGGTTTTAAGGAAAGGATATCTAACAGAGGAATTGTTTGTATGGGATGGATACCACAACAGGAAATATTGGCACATCCATCTATTGGGGGGTCTTTGTTTCACTCGGGCTGGGGCTCAGCCATTGAAGCCTTGCAGTTTGGTCTCAGCCTAGTTGTATTACCCATCATTTTAGATCAACATCTTAATGCAAGGTTTTTGGTGGAAAAGGGTCTAGCCATCGAAGTGAAAAAAAATGAAGATGGGTCATTCACTGGAAATGACATTGCCACATCCCTTAGACAAGCTATGGTATTGGAGGAAAGTAAGAAGCTCGAAATGAATACAAGAGAAGCTGCTTCAATTGTAGGAAACTTGAAGCTACACCAGGATCATTACATAGCTGCATTTGTTCAGTTTCTTAAGGATGGAATCTGGAAACAAACATGAAGTTGTAGAGTTTGCAGAATTTTTTTTGGACTGATAGTCACTAAGTTTTTACTCGTCTTTCGGGTTTATAAAGGGTCATGTTTTTTAGGGATGTGAAGATAGGAGATAGGGTTTCTCTTATCAACTAATCGCCACGACCTAGGCCATGCAAAATATGCCTCTGGTTCTGCTTCTGTTTATTGTCTTGTAAGGCTATAAAGGCAACATTTGTTTTGTTTTAACCAGTTGAACAACCATTTATGCAAACGAATTATTGAATTGGCTAGTAATGGGTGAGCTTTTCTTCTACTATGTTCATTTTACGTGGATCTTAACTCTCTATCACTTGGTCTTAAATGCTTTGATACGTACTAACTACTCGGAAACAATTGCTTAAACACAAGCATCATGGAAGATACATTATTGGCTGATTATTAAGTTTGGGTCACAAGCATGTTTGGCACATCATTAAGTTTCCAAAATATTCAAACATTGCAACGATTTCATACTAAAATGGTGAGCACCTTCCTGATAAGAACAAGTTAACCCAAATATTTTAATTACATATCATATTATACTTCTTTGTGTTTCACATTGACATATATCATAGTTAAACAATGTATAAGCAATTTATTACTTTTCTTTTTTGCTCTGATGGTTAAATTTTTGGCAACCTTTAAATACTCACACTTTTATATTTTTTTATTTGCATTTAATTTTGTATGAGTTTAAATATTAATGAATTATTTTAATTAATTTATATAAAACAATTGTTGCCGATTTAAATTTATTTTAAAATTTTTGAACCAGTTACCTTTTTTAATATATGTTGTCGGTTCACCATAGCAACGAAGTCCGAGTAACAATTTCCCTTTCACCCGCCATCCACTCTTGTCACTCTCACTTGCGTCTGCATCTACCCCTGGGTAGAAAGTAGAAACAAGTTAGGCTGCTCAACAGGTTTGGTCAAGTTTACATAAAAAAAATGCTAAACTCTAAGTTATTTAAAATGTTTATTAAACCGACTTATTTAAATAAATAAAATTATTATTATATCAAATTTGTTATAAAATATTAAAATTATATATTTATTTATATTTTTAAATATTAAATAATATAAAAAGTGGAATTTGAAAGTTTATTGAAAGATAAATTTATATTCAATTTAAAAATATTATTATAAAATACTTTTTTAAATAAATTATCATTATGAATATCTTATTAAACTTTAAAAATATGTTTATATTAGACTTTATTTTTATAATTTAATATATTTATTTTTACTTTTATCTTAATATTAAATTATTACAAAGTATTAACTCTTGAACAAATTTGTTAAGTCAAGTTAGATTTTTATGTAGATTAGGTTACACCTTTAAAAGAGTTCTATTGCTAATTAAACAAGAAAGTCTGATCCAGGCCGTATGATCTGGTTTCACTCTTACCTGCAAACCAAGTCCTCCTCCCCATCAGTACAGATCCAATTTTCATGTTGACAAGATGATGATATTTTTGTGTTCCCAAAATGATCTCAGTTTGGACCTTGGTTCTATTGATTATGGATCTGTTAATTTTTGTTTATTGTTTAAAAGTTACATTGTTATTCTGTTTCCGTCTTCTCTATTACTTTTATTTTTTATGATTTTGGGTTGGTTGGTTGAGGTAAATTTGAAATAAAATTATTTTTTAATTGTAAGGAACCATATCTTATATAAAGAACAAATCTTAAGCTAAAGCAACCGAGAGAGAATTACTATCTCCAATGGCCAAAAAAAATATATATGAAACGGTTGCTTAAACATAAGCAACATGGAAGATACAACCGCTAAAGACGATCTACATTACTTTTCTGTATATATTTTGCTGGAATTGTGGCGGATTCATGCAGAGTTGAGGTTCATATATCATGTTACGGTTAATGCTGTCCGGAAAGTTTGCATGAATGAGCAATCAAGTTGTTGATAAAGAAGCTATTAATGATATCAAACAACAAAGATTTTTCCAAGTTTGCCAACTGTTTAAAACTATTTATCATATTCACACAAAGATATGTTTTAACTGAAAATAATATTAGTGAGATATTAATTTTTTTTAATTTAAGATTAACTTTTTGTTGTTGTTGTTGTCAGGGTATCCTTTGATTGAGAATCAAACACTAATTCCTTGAGTTGCAGAGTATGTAGGTTCATTCACACAAATCTTTCAATAATATAATAAAAAACTATATTTTTTTTTTCACTAAAACACTTGACATAAATGAAAAAATATGCAGATAATCAAATAACATTAAAATATAAGATATACATACACTAGAAAATGTTAAATAAAAATATAAAAATGTATTTATAAACTTTAAAAAATATTCAACAAAAAACATAAGTATTAGAAAATCACAGGGTGGGATGCTAGTTCCTGACATAGCTGAAAGCTCTAATTTATTATTTTTTAATTTAATATCTAGTTTGTTTTTAACTTGGTTTGTCCAAAGATTATTTGGTACAGGTACTATATATAGCATGGGTGTTCGATGGAAAAAGACAACATTGATAACAAGCGGTGCATGGGGAGAGCCATAGCACTGTACATTTTAGCAGTGAAACACGTGGCCAACCACAATTATAAGAGGTAGAGGTAGATCATATGCATGCAGCAAGAAAAGCTAGAAAATGGCTGAGAATAATATTCGCGTAGTTATGCTTCCATGGTCTGCTTTTGGCCACTTGATACCATTTTTCAAACTTTCCACAGCCTTGGCCAAAGCTGGTGTTCGTGTCTCCTTCATATCATCTCCCAAAAACATTCAAAGGCTTCCCAAACTTCCTTCGACTTTATCTCATTTGGTTGAATTGGTACAACTTTCTTTGCCATCATTAGACAAAGAACTCTTGCCAGAAGGTGCTGAGGCCACAGTAGACATTCCATTTGAACAAATTCAGTACTTAAGTTGGCACATGACCAACTGCAACATGATGTGAAGCAATTTGTGACAAATCAGTTACCAGATTGGATAATTTGTGATTTTAGTTCCCCACTGGATGAAAGACATTGCTCATGAGTTTCAGGTAAAGCTGTTGTTCTTTAATGTTTTCTCTGCTTCTACAATAACATTCTTTGGAGCACCAACAAGGAAAATTCTCTTTCCACCAGAGTGGGTGAGATTTCCATCCTCAGTGGCTTTTCGAAGGCACGAGCCAATAGCTTTTTGTGCTAATGCCAACCAGGTGAATGCTTCCGGCATAAGCGACTTGGAAAGGCTTGCCGAGGTACTCACTTACTCTGAAATTGTATTATTTCGTAGCTGTTATGAGATTAAAGGAGAATATCTGACTGCATTCCAGAAACTAGTTGGTAAGCATGTGATTCTGTGAGTTAATGACCTATATACTATTAGTGTAAAGTTAGTGTAAAGTTTTTTTTATACCGGTAACTAATTATATCATTTAATAAAGACATGTCAGTTGCTTATTTAATAAAATAATAATAAAATAAATAACTTTAAAAGATATGATTGATTGTTAATATAAAAAATTTTATACCGAGAGTGTAGGGATGATTGAGTTAAGTTTATTGCCTGTAGAAAGGCCAGAGAGAGGGGGGAATTGTTGATGGGTGTAGTGGTACGATATTTGAGTGGCTTGATGAGCAAGCATCAAAATCAGTTGTGTTTGTGGGGTCTGGCATTGACTGCAAGCTGAGAAAGGATCAAGTTTATGAGATAGCTTATGGACTTGAGGAGTCTCAATTGCCATTTTTATGGGCATTAAGAAAACCAAGTTGGGCAAGCACTGACAGGATTCTGTACCTTATGGTTTTCATGGAAGGACATCTAACAGAGGAATTGTTTGTATGGGATGGATACCACAAACAGGAAATATTGGCACATCCATCTATTGGGGGGTCTTTGTTTCCCTCTGGCTGGGGCTCAGCCATTGAAGCCTTGCAGTTTGGTCTCAGCCTAGTTGTATTACCCATCATTGTAGATCAACATTTTAATGCAAGGTTTTTGGTGGAAAAGGATCTAGCCATCGAAGTGAAAAAAAATGAAGATGGGTCATTCACAGGAAATGACATTGCCAGATCCCTTAGACAAGCTATGGTATTGGGGAAGTAAGAAGCTCAGAATTAATACAAGAGAAGCTGCTGCAATTGTAGGAAACTTGAAGCTGCACCAAGATCATTACATAGCTGCATTTGTTCAGTTTCTTAAAGATGGAATCTGGAAATTAACATGAAGTTGAAGGTTCATAAAATTAATCTTGGTTGGACTGATAGTCATTTAGTTTTTACTCGTTTTTTTTTTTTTTTTTTTGGGTTTAAACGAAGTCCAATTCAGAAGCAATTTTCGGAAAAAAATTTGAAATTTAGTGAAATAAATTTTGCCTAAATATGCATAAGTTAGGAGTACTTTTAAGGGAAATAAAATTGAAATATGTTCTCTTTCGATATAAGATTTAAATATAAGATTTTGTGATATAAGATTTTGGAAAAGAAAATTAGTTTTGACAAAGTAGCTTATATATTATAAAAGTTTATTTCATATTGCTAATTGGCTTGTAGCGAGTCTAGTGAGCTTTTCTTCTGATACAAAACTCCGAAACAATACCTCTTAAATTTAGAAACATACTGTTAATGTTATTATTATAATACAGTTCTTATAATACAAAACATAGAAACAATACCTCTTCAACTTAGAAACAGTAGCATTAATATTATTATTTAATTAAAATTAAAGTTTAATGTCGATAACACCTTTATAATAAAAAAATATAAGGATAAGAAAGGTGATATTATAAAAAGATATAAGGATAGGAAAGGTGATATCTTGATTAGAGTACCGTGTTTTATGGTGAAAGTTTGTCTACTTAGTGGAATTAGGTGAAGTTTTTTCATATTGGTGGAGTGTTTAGTGGATGTAGTGCAGAACATGTGCCAACACTTTCTAATGGAAAAATTCAATTCAATTAAGATTTGGTTCATCTTATACGTACATGTCACGCACATCTTAGCTTTCTATGTTATATAACAAATAATATTACTATTCCACCAAAAAAAATATCTTATTAATTCAAAATAATCACAAGAATTTATTTTTTTTTGATGAAAAGATTTTTAAAATTTTTTATCTAATTTAATTTTTTATTTAGCATAATTATTTTTAAATTAAATGTTAGTATTTTAAAATAAATTATCAAAAAATAAAAATAAAATTTTTATTTTACTATAAATTATTTATTATAAATTTAAAATATAATTTATATATCCTCTAGAATGGTTCGTTCTCAACTATGTTTTATAGGTCAATTCAATAGTTTGGAACGGCCCATTCCAGTTTGGGAATGACCCGTTCTGGGCTGCTGAATCACCCATACTAGACTTTTGGACCTTCTGAAACAACTTGCTACGTTATACTAAATATATAGTTACATGCATAAATTCTTTTTCTTTTTTATTATTAATTGTAATAGTAATAATAATAATGAGAATTTTTATGTTATTATTTTATTTTTATTAAGAGATGATTTTGTTTAATATTAGAATTCAAATTATAAAAGAAGATAGATCAAATAAAATGGAGAAAGAGGACAAAACATATATTTATATAAAAAATTAATTTGGTTTGAAGTTCTGGGTTAAGCTTCGGAAGAGAATTCTACTTCTTCTCAGTTATTGGCTATTTTGAGTCAATCTTTAGGTGAGAGAAGCTAGAATGCTTATTGTTTAGGTTGCATGTGAGTTTAGAAACTCAATTGATGCATGAATGTTGAGAATCCATAAATGGATTGAAGAAAATATCATTTTTGGGGTTTTGAGAAAAAGGAGGATTTTGATGCATAGGTTGGATGCATGTGAGATCTAAGTTTATTTAAGTTGTATGAAGCCTATGCATTGTGTTTTTGTGTTTGCATGTGGCTGGATTTGTTGTTTTGGACGAGAGTTTTTGAATTCTTTGACTAGGATTTAGGCCGGGCGCAGGTTGAGCGCGCCGAGCATGGAAGAGCTTAGAGCTCTAGGGTTGATGTTAGGCCAAGTGCGAGCTGACTGCGCAGAGCATGAATATGTTTATAAATAATAATTGATGCTTATGCATGTTTAAAGTTGAAATTTTAGATCATGTATGTATGATATATGATGTATGCTGAAGTGTGATTCATATGTATGCTTTGTGATGATACGTATGAATGTTTAAATATGATATGACATGTGTATATGTTCATATGAGTATGTTTATTGATCATAATGGTGGGTAGACCATGTATGATGTATGATGCATTATTGCATGTGATGTCTTATGACATGTGTATGATTGTTGATCATGATCATGATGGTGGGCAGACCATGTATGATGTATGATGTATAATTGCATGTGATGCGTTATGGCATGAGTCTAGCCTAAGACTTGATGAGGGGAAAAATATTTTCGAACTGAAAGAGCTCACATAGAGTCTCTTGAGAGTGGTGCTTGGATAGGCCACTGATATATGAGAGTGGTGCTTAGGTAAGCCACTGGATTTGGGAGAGTGGTGCTCAGATAGGTCACTGGGTTGGGTGAGTCTCCTCTAAGTCCTTAGCTATTGTTGGAGCGGGGTATGAGGTCGAGGGTTATTCCCTTAACAAAATACTCGGAAAGGTGCGTGGATCCTTGCGGATAGTCGGTGGGCAAACTCCACAATTGACTTGGTTATGCATGCCAAGGTCGTGGTAAGCCCGTACCCAGCTGTGTTACCCAACCAAAATATTTTCATTTTCTTTTTGTGTGTGTTTGTCGACGGGTCATCAACACATGTTATTTATCAGAGGAAAATAAGATTAAAAAATAAAGTGTTTATTTATTAAAAAAGACCTTAGAAATAGGAGCTGTTGGAGGTCTTCTTGATGATGTGAGAGAGATGTTCTGTTTACCTCTTCGCACTTGTTTTAGTGTTTTAGCTATAATTGTGCAATCTTTAACTTAGTTTTCTGGTTAATATAAATTTTCAGATATGCAAATTCCGGCCAATATAATTAGTAAAACTATGATTATTATAAATTAATAGTAAATGGTGTAGAGCCAAAAGTTCCTTAGTCTATCAATAATTTGTAAAGATATGATTGATGTTGTTTAAAATAATAATTTATCTTCTTTAAAGTTCATAAGCCATCCCAAAGATCATGGCTCGAGAAGCGATGATTGATACCAAACTAGCAATAACAAACATGGGCCAATAAAAAGATCTGCAATATATGAAACTATCATTAGTTAGTTGTATATAATGCAATTTCTGTTTTGTCGTCTTTTTCAGAATAATGGGATTGGTTTGGTTTTAAATTAATGTAACTATGTAAGTGGTTGCACATCCCCAGCGTTTGAGTTTGGAATCAAAGATTCTGCATGACTAAACAATGACTAATAAATTAATTAGACAAAACGAAAGGAATTCATATATATTGCAAAGATTAAAAAAAAAAAATTGCATATTGTACTTCAGTTAGTGACATGTATTTGATCAATTTTCCACGCTTGTAAAAGTAATATCTCAGTACAATAGTAATAAATATGTTTGTGTTGTACATATTAAAATATTAATTAATGTATAAAATTATAACAAGTGATTGTCGAAATTCGTGAAGAAAATGATACGAAAAAATTAATAACTCTAAATTATAAGGGTGAGAAAGGTGATATGGCTTTCAAAATTGATTTGAAAAGGTTTTACGATAATATCGATTTAGGAAATTCTGAAACTTTGCCTACGAATTTGGGTTATTAATTTAATCATACACAAAATTCGTCTAACCTTAACAAAGCCTATATGAATAAGCTGGTACAATTGCTATTGCTTTATCAGCCATTTATTAATTATATTATGAGGAACTAATTTGGAAGGATAATAGAAATAAAGGGATTTTGGTATGATCACTTCATCGAGTCGAGTCCATATGCCCTAATGTTCAATTGTTCATTTGCATGATATCATTGAAACTTGATATAAAAATAAAAAGTGGTCATTGTGATTAAAACTTCAATTAAATGAAAAATATTTCAAAGATAATATTATTGAATGAGATAAAAATTAATTAAATTTATTTATATTTAAGTTCAAAATATAAGACGTACTCCTTTCTTATATTCATGATTAGAGGGAGTAGATAATAACTGAGTCTCTTTATACTACCAGAAAAAGAAAGCTCAAGTGGAATACATGAGTAATGCAATTTATTCAAATTACCTCCGATATAACGAACGATTATCTAATACGGTATTATTTTTAAAGACTTTTTTGTAGTAAGAATATTTTTAAAAATTCTTTCAATTTTATGTTTAATTTGATTTTTATTTATAAATTAAATTTTAATATTTTAAAACAAATTATCAATAAATAAAAAATAATTTTATATTACAATATAAATTATTTATCATAAATATTAAATATAATTTATATATTTAAAATATATACTTATTCAAATTTTAAAATAAATTATATATCAAATTTTAGTATTTATTTATATAAAAATTCTTTTAAATTTTAATTATATATAAGAAATATTTAATTTGTGTATGACATGTAAAATAGTAGTTTGATAACTTGAATATTGTAGTCTGAAACAATGAGTCTCCTAAATAACGAAAATACATTTAATGATCACATGTGTGAATACATAAAAGTTATGCAATTGCAACCATATTGCTTTGGATCACTAAGCATGATAATGGGGCGGGGCGAGTTTTACATTCCTCGTCTTTCTTCTTCAAATTTAAACGATATTCGTCGGGAATAAATTCTGGGTCCTCGTCCTCGTTCCCAGCGGGGTTCAGGTTTTCTCGTCCCGCTCCCATCTCCGCTCCTATTTTTTTTCTTCTTTTTTTCTTTTAAATAAATATGAACAATCTAAAATAAAATAAAATAAAGTAAAATAATATAAATTTTTGCATATAAATATTTATAATTTTGATTTATATATATATAAATAATTTTTTAATTATATTATTAAACGGGACGAGAAAGGGGGCGGGGGCGGGAGGATATTAACATCCCCGCCCCGCCCCGCCCCGCCCCTGATTTTATTAATCGGAGAAAACTCGAATCCGATAAAACACAGATTTTTTTCATCTAAATCGGGACAGGTTCGGACGGGTACCCATAGAAACGGGTTAGATTCGCATGCCTTTCGATCACAGCTAACAAGTGGTCCACCGTGAAAGCTACAGCACTGTACACTTTAACAATACGTGACCAACCACAATTATTAAAGTTGATAACTTGATATATTCTCTTCTTCAGTAGAGCTAGAACATAGACCTAGAAAATGTCTATGAATGCAATTCATGTAATGATGTTTCCATGGTCTGCCTTTGGCCACTTGATACCATTTTTCCAACTTTCCATAGCCTTGGCCAAAGCTGGTGTTCGTGTCTCCTTCATATCAACTCCCAAAAACATTCAAAGGCTTCCCAAACTTCCTTCAACTTTAGCTCATTTGGTTGAATTGGTACAACTTCCTTTGCCAACATTAGACAAAGAGCTCTTGCCAGAAGGTGCTGAGGCCACAGTAGACATTCCATTTGAACAAATTCAGTACTTGAAGTTAGCATATGACCAACTGCAGCATGCTGTGAAGCAATTTGTGGCCAATGAGTCACCAGATTGGATAATCTGTGATTTCAGTCCCCACTGGATGAAAGACATTGCCCAAGAGTTTCAGGTAAGGCTAGTTTTCTATTCTGTTTTCTCAGCCTCTGCAATGGCAATAATTGGACCGTGTACGAGGAAATTTCCCATATATCCAGAAAGTCTAACAGTACCACCAGAGTGGGTGACATTTCCATCATCAGTGGCTTTTCGAAGACAGGAGGCAATAGCTTTTTGTGCTGGTGTCAACCAGGTAAATGCTTCTGGGGTATGTGACTGGGAAAGGATGGCCACGGTATGCGGTGCCTCTAAAGCTGTATTATTCCGTAGCTGCAACGAGATTGAAGGAGAATATCTGAATTTATTCCAGAAACTTGTTGGGAAGCCTGTGATTCCCATTGGTTTATTGCCTGTAGAAAGGCCAGAAAGAGAAAGAGGAATTGTTGATGGGTGTAGTGATGATATATTTGAGTGGCTTGATAAGCAAGGATCCAAATCAGTTGTATTTGTAGGGTTTGGCAGTGAGTGCAAGCTGAGCAAGGATCAAGTTTTTGAGATAGCTTATGGACTTGAGGAGTCTCAATTGCCATTTTTATGGGAATTAAGAAAACCAAGTTGGGCAAGCACTGATCAGGATTCTGTACCTTATGGTTTTCATGGAAGGACATCTAATAGAGGAATTGTTTGTATGGGATGGATACCACAGCAGGAAATATTGGCACATCCATCTATCGGGGGCTCTTTGTTTCACTCTGGCTGGGGCTCAGCCATTGAAGCCTTACAGTTTGGTCATAGCCTAGTTGTATTACCCTTCATTATAGATCAACCTCTTAATGCAAGGTTTTTGGTGGAAAAGGGATTAGCCATCGAAGTGAAAAGAAATGAAGATGGGTCATTCACAGGAAATGACATTGCCAGATCCCTTAGACAAGCTATGGTATTGGAGGAAAGTAAGAAGCTCAGAATTAATACAAGAGAAGCTGCTGCAGTTGTAGGAAACTTGAAGCTGCACCAGGATCTTTACATAGCTGCATTTGTTCAGTTTCTTAAAGATGAAACTGGAAACTAACATGAAGTTGAAGAGTTCGTAACAGTATTCTGGGTTGGACTGATAGTCATTTAGTTTTTAATATTTCTTGTTTTCACATTCTCTCTGAAACATCCGTCTGCCACTGTCAATTTTAACAATTCGAACAATCATTTATGTGAAAAATATTAGTGAACTGGTTTGTATTGAACAATCATTTAAATAAACTGTTCCTGTTCTTGTTCAACTGGGTAGCTAGAGATGATGTTTCTATGATTCTATTCCTTGTGCGTTCTGATAATTGTCTAACTGATTAAACTAAGGCAGAACAAAAGTTTTAAATTGAGTTGGGATTTAGGAAGAATTCTAAAATCAGGGGTTTAAAGTGGCGAACAACAATGATGTTCGATTTTTACCTCAAATCAGTTAGGGGCTTTTGAATCTAGAGGGATAAAGATCCCATGGGTTGACTACGGGTCTTCTAGAAGATGCTTATAGTAAATGAGGATGAAAGTGGTAAATAAGGGTTTATATGATTTGGAGCAAGGACGTCTGTCCTTGATGTTTTCGAGTTCAACAGAGGATAATTGATTTAAGATGAATTAATTTATCATGTTGATTCAAGTTGAAAAAAATTAAATCTGATAAGTGAACCAATTATAATTGGTTTGGTTCATATTGGAAATAAAATAAACCAATTAATCTGGTTTAGATTAATGAGATCAATCTAATTCAGTGAATGTTCCTATTGTAATACCAATATCAAAGCCAAGTTTCACCGTGCTGCGATATGCCTAACTATACTCTATGGAATGAATGATAGACTCTAAAGGAACGATAATAGAAAAAGGTAACAGTAGCATAAATAAGAATGTTAAAATAAATGTGTGGTCACACAAGATACGACAGAATGCAAACTGACTGTATACAAATACAATGAGATATTAATGTAGCACAGAAGAGATTGATAGAAATTCAATTTTATGGTGTTTGGGTAGAGGGGGGATGGAGGGATTTAAAAAAAAAAATCTTGTTTGGTTCAATTTTGGGAAGAGAGGGCAACAAAACTCTTTTTCATCTAATTTTAGTTCCTTCGTGATATTGGAAGATTTGGAGACGAGAGATTTTAAAAACAAATATATAATAGCTAAAATATTCTTATTTATGTTGTTAAATTGTAATTAGAAGGATACAAAAATAAATAAATTTTTAAAATTTTTTTCCTCTCGTTATGAACCAAACAAATAAAGAGTTAATTCTACCCCTCTTCTCAATCAAATAAAATTTCTAATTCTTCTCTTCTTTCCCTTCCCCTTCCCTCCATTAAAATCCTTTCCTCCCTTCCTTTGAACCAATTGGACACTTGAGGTGGTTTGGAGTACATGTGCAAAGGATGCCCATGGAAGCACCAATAAGGAGAATATTATGTAAAAAAGGAGAGAAAAATCAGACATCAAGAAAATTAGTTACTCCCTCTATCCCAAAATGACTACAATTTTAACATTTGAAAAATACCTCAAAATGAATTATGTTCTCACTTTCTATATAACATTAATTATTTTTCATAATTTGTCCCTCCATAAATCATTCAACCACTAAAATTAAAAGTAATGAATTCTCATTAGTCCTTATTAATTTTTATAGGACACATATTTCAAATTAGTTTGGTTCTTTTCATAAGACTCAATCCATTATGTTCCAAGTATTAAATGCATTTATTGAGTTCAAAAAGTGAAATTCATTTATGTTTTTTCAAATACTATTAGACTCATTTTTTTTTTATACAAAAAATTTGGAAATATATATTAAGTTTCTCATTAATTTAGAGGTAGTTTTGCAAAGAAGTAGAAACTTTTTATATTTATTAATCTTAACTAATAAAATTAACTTTTCTTAATCTTAATGAATTAGTTATTTGGATCTTATGATAAAGACAAGAGGGAGTATTTATTAAGAGAGTAAGTTATTTCAATAAATTTGTATCAAAAACAAAAGGTGATACATTTATTATTGTGCTTAATTTATGTATAAAAACTTTGATTGTAGTCATTGTAGAACAGAGGGACTAAGGAGTAAGAAAGATTTTATGATAAATACTCTCTCTATTCCATAACAAGTGTCATCTTAAATTATTTTACACAGATAAAGATAAACTAACAAATAATTGAAAGAGAATAATAAGTTTACAAAATAAACCTTATGATTATTTTTTTTTTTCAAAATCGATGCAATACAATAATCATTTTGTTATTAGACCAACCAGAGGATCCGGTTGTGGTTTTTCCGTTGCTCAGTTACTGTAATAGCGTAAAATAGTTTTTCTTAATTTTACTGTGTTCTATCACGTCTACTGACTTGAAAGTCACTGGTTCAAATTCTTAAAAGAAAGTAGATTTGAACGTCACTGACTTCTCTAAGATATAGATTCTGATATCATGTTAAGAAAGTAAATTGAAGTGTAGCTCAACTTTACAATACAGACTTATCCAAATTATTCTTCATTTATACATATTATTATGTCCTTATCTTCAAAGGATGCAATATTTCCAACAAAAATCTTGGAAATAGTCTCTCCACTTAAGGGAATAAGGCTGTGTACAACCCTTTTCCAAACCTAACAACCCCGTTAGGTGAGAGCCTTGTGCACTGACCCAACTTTTTAAGATGGAGGAGAGAGAATATCATATTATTATAGCAACTAAGATTTATTATTATATATATATAAATAAATAAATAAATAAAAAGGAAACTTCATAAATGGATATGCCACAATTCACTCAATGTAAAAAATTTATATTCTTTAGTAAATAAAAAAAAATAAAAAATAAAAAATAAAAAACTGAAGCCAAGTAAACCAACTATGCAACTAGTATTAGGAAACTGCTTCAGTGCAAGCCAATGACAAATTAATATACCTGCAGGCCTCGTATTAGTAAAAGCTAAAACCCACAATGTCTAGCAACCACTAGTTCCAGAATTGTCATCATGCAGAGCACATCATTTAGAAGACATGTCTTGCCATGTGCTGCCAAGAGCAATCCCGTGATTCTTAATGATGTGAACTGCCTGCAGGAGAATATCTTGTTGTGCAGAGTATAGTTCGTCTTTGCGCTGTAAAAGCAAAAATACAAGATAAACACAAGGGATAAAAATTGTACAGGCAAACATGGTCAATTGAAGTATGAAGATGTATCACAGGAATGAAAGATTTCCTGACCCAGCACTAGATAATAGAGTGAAAAAGATAGAAAGCAGGATACTGAACCATTGTTGAAGCTAGGTGCAGACATTTTTACAAAAAGACCTTACCACGTTAACAAGGAAACCTCACAAGAAGTCACCTAACTAATATGATTTGAGATAAATAATATTTTCCTTTTAGATGCATTTATGAAATGTACGTTACAGAAATTGTATATCCTTAATTGAGCTCTTAGTTTTCTGGTCCACATGCAGTGTTGTTATATAGCAATTGGCTCACTTCCTATCAACTACAGCATTAGGGATTGATTGGTAATCAGTAATCCAATCGGAATCAGAACTAATTAGTGTACACTTCATCTTGGATCAAGTGAATAAAACATCAGCTATGAAATTTGAAATCTAAACATTTCGGCTAACATATCCCCTTATCTCTATTTTTGCAACCTATCAGAAAATCAGGTGATACAAGAGTCCTTGGCCAGTTCTCCATGTCATTATTCCTACCTGCTTGGTGCTACGTTTCTACAAGTTATTAACATATCATCTGAAGAATAGTGATTGAAATTTAGGTGCAGTGAGATATCATTTGCATATTCCTTGAACGGTCAAAACCAACATAGAACAAGCAGGATATACGAAAAAAATAAATGCAATATAAAAAGAAGCAAAGGAAACTTCAAAGATAACTATAACATCTCCATATTGTACTTCCTACGTAGCACGCCCCATAAGTAATGGGTTGGTGTTTCACTGTGCTTGCACGTCAATTTCCTATAATTTATTTTAAGAATAAGTATTCCAAAAGCGTTTTATGAACAAAACGGATTCATTGAGTATGACAACCATAATATGGACATATTCAGGAATTCAGATGGGCAAGGTACCATTTGTTTGAGGTTGTATCCAAGAGTCAATTCTGCATAGGAACTTTCTATACGGGATAAGAAACAGTATGGAACATCTTTTCCTAAGAAAACCTTCGCATTTGATCTGAGCATGCCTTTTACATCATCTGAAATCAGGGGAATCTTACTTAAATCCTCAGTTTGCAACGGAATTTTGGTAATAATGGCACGATATTCAGCACGTGACTTGTTCACAATAACCTACAAGGTTAACATGAAAAAAGGACTATCATAATCGATGAGAAGAAGACCAAGGCAGAAAGTAGATCATGACCTACAAGAAGCCTGCTCAAACTACTGTTTGGAAAGTAAAACAACAAAAAAACAACTATGAATCATTGAAGAAATGGAAATACTCTTGGTTTAATTAATAGAATCAATTCAACAATGAGCTACAAATATGTAGCAAGCATTTTCTAAAAGGTTGCATATCTTTGCAGTTTGCATGATGTAGTGCCAAAGATCAAGATGATTGATTGGTAATGTTAGTGTTCAGAACAGATTTGACTTCTAGAAGTCAATGCATACATGCATATTAGATAAAATGCAGGTCACACCTCTCTGTATTGCTAAAATGACCGTAGAGGAAGTGAGCCTGTTCAGAAACACCAGGAAAAGGAGGTTCGGGTGGCGGAGGCTCACCTGGCTAGAAAAAAATGAGTTTGGCACAATGACTGGGAACTTCTCCGAACTCAGCAATGATGTGGTAGTAAGACCCATTTCCACCACTTGACCCTCTATCGAGCCAGCCTGCAATTTTTACAATCTCTTAGACAAATTTAATAAACATGGGATGTAATCAGGGGAAGACCTACATTGATGCATGGAACATGATAAATTTGTCATGTTCTCCAAATTCATTTTATCTGTCTCAAAAACCCTCACCTAATTTATTTTTATTTTGGGCCTCTAATGTTTCAACCCTAATTCTAACCCTTAACATACAAACTACATTTATATATGCACTACATATTGGGCCATTTGAAAAGAGCACCAGTAATGAATGACTTTAATATTTCTATTACCAACTAACGTGCAAGTAGTAAAAAATTAATTAGCATTCCTCACCTAAAAAAATGACTGTAAAGAGGACATTCAAGGGCAAAGATAGTGTAAGAAGAGAAACACCATTTATTTTCTGAATCTGCTAGTGTGTGTTTTCCACTCAGCAGAGTGATCTATGTATAATAATGATTAGAAAGAGAATAATTACTATTATTTTCGATAGAACTTCTTCCAAAGATACATTGAACATGGCTAAACACAATAACTAAGCTACTTGAAAAAGTAGTAATCATTAAATGCTACTATTTCCAACTATTAGAGTGGTGCTTTACTCTGTAATCTGTTTTGTCTATAATCTCTGTATTTTCAGTTTTATTCTTTGGGCCTGTCATTATCGTGACAGCTGTACTGTGTAACTAACTCTTAGTTATAATTAGTTAGTCTTTTGATTTTTCTCTTGTAAAGCTATATATAGCTCTGATCTTTTATCTTCTGTAAGTATCAAATTCATTTTTCACAGGATACAAAAGTTTCCTTTCATACTTTTCCTCTCTACTACCTAATACCAACACATAGCAATAGCACAAGACCATGGTTCAGAAAATAACTTCTATCATTAATGTGCACCTAATATCTCAACATACTTTTATGGTATCTCCAATTGAAAAGGGCTTCGAAAACTGCATGGATAAACCACTGAACACATTGCCAAGAATGTCCCTGGCAGCAAAAGCAGTAGCCACTCCTGCATAAGAGAGACAGAAACATGAAATCTTCCATTCCATATTTTATTGGTAGAAAATAAACGTGAAACTTGTTAATGAATGGGAAGCAACTAATAAAACATTTATTAAATGAATAAAGAAACTAATATTGAGGTCTTAACATGTTTTGATATTAGACTCTTAAGCAGGATCATCAGGTAGGGGTTAAGGATAGCTGATGTTTCCACTAAATGGAACACAAGAAAATACTTCATGTGCATGTGTGTATTATATTCCTTTTTTTTCTTACTATTGATCTGACACATTGCTCTAGAACTAGGATCCAACTCCTCTAAAGATAGGTGGTGTACTTTAAAAGATAAATTGCACTCACAAGTTACAACTAGGGGTGTGCAAAAAATCCAAATTGATTTGAACCGATCCATATTGAAAAATCCGATCCATTTTGAAAAAAAATCCGAACCGAACCACTTTATAAAATCGGTTCAGTTATCCGATCCATTTTTACAAAGTGGATCGGTTCGGTTCGGTTTGGTTTTCTAAAAAAACCGATCCATATATGAGTAAAAAAGTGGATAACTGCACCGCACCAAACCGATCCAATTTCAAAAAAACCGATCCATATTTTAAAAAAACCATAAAAAATGGATCGGTTAACCGATCCACTTTTATAAAACGGTTCGGTTCGGTTTCAAAAAACCGATCCATGAACACCCCTAGTTACAACAGTTGATTAAAATAAGAAAAATAATGGTTGAGGATTGTGATAAAATCAAGTATTAGTTAGAATCTCAAATGTTGATTTGTTAATTAACAGTTATTAGTGCACTCCCCCTCACTTTAGAGGAGCCAAATCCCTAGAACAACAAGCCAAATCCCTAAAACTACAGTCTCTTTAGAGATCGCGGCAATTTTACTTCCTAGTTATACAATTTATTTTTATAAAACCAGCTTATGCAGCACTTTCTCTCACTGAGTTGTTTTGCAAACAGAATGCCCTACCAACACAATCCCAACCAATTTAATTTATTTTGTCAAATTTGATCCTTTTTTTTATTAGTGGGGCTTGCCACACTAGATAATAATATATCAATTTCTACCGTGCCGATGGCGTCAACTAGCAACCAAATTGATATGCCTAAGGCTTTCCTTAAACCTACAACCTCAAATTCTCAGTGTTAAAACACTTGTTTAATATTTGTTATACAATTTTTATAAAAGTTGTTTTTGCCTCCCATCACTCATAGGGTAGTCTAGGTCCATAGGCTAGATCTTGTCTTGATGGTGTATCTTTTCTGCATATATATATATATATATAAAAACTGAGGCTGTGAGCTGAGCAGTTTTTTGGGGCCACAAAGTCAAATCTTAAGTTGGTATCAGAGCGGGTCCAATCCCACTCTGCCATCCATTGATGGCCAAATTCTCCGGCGACCTTAGGGTTCGGTGCACCTCGTTGAGCACGACCCAACCCTAGAGGTTTCGAGGTCATCGGAGTCTCCACGCGCCAATCCAAATTCTGCCTAGTCACGCACGTCTGACCCACGCGTCGCCTTCTGCTCATCGGAGCTCCGTCATGCTACCATCGTCGTGTTCCTTCTGAGTCTGTTCCAGCCCTCAATTTACGGATTAGGAAAGCTCTTTGGATTGCGATTACTGTTCATCTCCTTCTTCCTATTCCTTATCAACGAAATGGCCTCCGCAGGTCTCGTTTTTCCTTTTTCTGGTACTCCCACCAATATCACTGCAAAACTGAACTGGAAAAATTATTTGTCTTGGTCTGCCTCAATGGAGCTATGGTTTCTTGGTCAAGGATATCATGACCATTTGGAGAAGGAAGTTAGTGATATTCCTATTGAACATAAGTCTCAATGACAGAAACTTGACTTTCAGCTGTGTGTTATCCTATGGCAATCAGTTGAATCAGAGGTGTTAGAAATACTCCGGTCATTTAAGACATGTCATTCTTTCTGGAAGGAAGCCCAAGATATTTTTGCTAATGACATTCAACGCTTGTTTGATGCAACCCAGAGAGTAGCTTCTCTTAAATAGACCAGCCATGATATGATTTTACATGTAGCAAAAGCCCGACCTGCAATAGAAGAACTGAAAAGATTTCTTGTGGCTAACTCATTGGAGGGTGTCAACAAAAAACTTGATAAGTTATATATGGTTTTGATTCTGAGAAGCTTACATTCAGATTTTGATCATGCATGTGATCAAATTTTGGCTGGTGACCAAATCTCCTCCATGGATAGCTTAGTCACTAGACTTCTTCGTGTTCCTACTTTGATGAAAGATGAAAACATAGTTGAAACTACTGAAACTTCAGCAATGGTAGCATCTCATGGAAGAGGAGGACGTAGTAGTCGAGGAGGACGTGGTGGTAAAAGTGGACGTCCTCAGTGTACATATTGCAAAAGAATGGGTCATACACAAGAAATTGTTATTCCCTACATGATTTTCCTGACAAAACAGTCCATGTGTCTAAATCTGAAAAATAAGGTTCCAAGTTTTTTGATGGGGAGTACCAAGATTATCTCAGGCTCAAATAAAAATCTAATAACCAAGCTCCATCTTCTTCTATGCCAAGTATTTCAACAGCATGTATTTCTCAATCTGTGGAAGGTCATGATCCATGGATACTTGACTCAGGTGCCTCTGATCACATATCTAGTAACAGTTCCTTATTTTCATTCATTTCTTCCCCAAAAGTCCCTCATTTTGTTACTGTAGCCAATGGGTCCAAAGTTGTATCTCAAGGAATTGATCAAGTCCCTTTGTCTCCTTCTTTAAAATTAAATTTTGTTTTGTTCATCCCTCATTGTCCTTATAACTTAATCTCTTTAAGCCAATTGACACGTTCACTAAATTGTTTGATAACATTTGATGCTAATTCCCTTGTCATACAGGAACGTGGTACGGGTCGTCTGATTGGCGAAGGACATAAATTACGAGGTCTTTATTACCTAAAAAACAACCCACCTGTATCTTGTTTTGCAGCCTCAGAACCAAAGCTTTTGCATGATCGTTTGGGTCACCCAAGTTTAGCAAAATTGAAGATCATGGTCCCTAGTCTCAAGTCACTTCCTGTTTTGAAATGTGAATCATGTCAATTAGAAAAACATGTTAGGTCATCATTTCCTAAACAAATTGAACAAAGATGTAACTCAATATTTTCTACCATTCATTTAGACATTTGGGGACCAAGCCATGTCACTTCTTTTGGTTTTAGATATTTTCTAACCTTCATTGATGAATTCTCTCGATGTACTTGGGTTTATTTAATGAAAGATCATTCTGAACTTCTACCTATATTCATATCTTTCTTTAATGAGATTAGGAACCAATTTGGCAAGATAATTAAAATCTTTAGAAGTGACAATGCTAAAGAGTATTTTTCTACTTCTACTGAACTCTCTTCCTTTTTATCCTCACAGGGTATTTTACATCAATCTACATGCCCTCACACACCACAACAAAATGACATAACAGAAAGGAAGAATAGACATCTTATTGAAACTGCACGCTCCCTAATGTTGAACATGAATGTTCCCATACATCATTGGGGAGATGCAGTCATCACTGCTTGTTTTTTAATAAATAGGATGTCATCTTCCTCTCTTGAAAATCAAATTCCTCATTCTATCATTTTTCCAAATGACTCGTTATTTCATGTCTCTCCTCGGTGTTTGGTTGTACTTGTTTTGTTCATAATGTCTCTCCAGGTTTAGACAAACTTTCTGGAAAAGCTATTAAATGTGTTTTTCTAAGATATTCTCGCCTTCAAAAAGGATACAAATGTTATTCTCCAACTACCAAGAGGTATTATATGTCTGTTGATGTTACCTTCTTTGAGGACACACCTTTTTTCTCACCCTCCATAGACAATCCTATTTCCTTTCAACAGATTCTTCCTATCCCATTCTCTGATCCAATCATAACCCTCAATCCTTCTATCACCAACCAAGAGGAGACTCAACCTCATACTCATGATACTGTTGAAGACCTTCGTCATTCTAATCCTTTTCTAACAACTTCCCAAACCATGGATCCTTCATCCTCCACGCCATCTCATGATTCCAATTTAGATTGGCCCATTGCTATTCGAAAAGGTAGTCGGCCTACTTGTAATCTTCATCCTATTTATAATTTTTTAAGTTATCACCATTTTTCTCCGTCATACTTTTCCTTTGTTTCCTCTCGGTCATCTACTACTGTTTCTAAAACTATCAATGAGGCACTTGATCATCCAGGATGGCGACAGGCCATGATTGATGAAATGCAGGCTCTTGCACATAATGGAACATGGGAGCTTGTCCCTCTGCCTCCTGGAAAGAAGACTGCTGGTTGTAGATGGGTCTATGCTGTTAAAATTGGCCCTAAGGGTGAAGTTGATTTCCTTAAAGCTCGATTGGTAGCCAAGGGATACACTCAAATTTGTGGTCTTGATTATTGTGATACCTTCTCTCCCGTGGCTAAGATTACCACGATTTGACTTTTCCTTGCTATGGTAGCTATTCGCCATTGGCCATTTCACTAGCTTGACATTAAAAATGCCTTCTTCCATGGTGACCTTGAGGAGGAAATTTATATGAAGCAACCTCCTGGGTTTGTTGCTCAGGGGGAGTGTGATTTAGTCTGTAAATTGCATCGGTTGTTGTACAGATTGAAACAATCACATCAAGCTTGATTTGGTAAATTCAGCCTCATTGTGCAGATTTTTGGATTGGAACAAAGTGAGGCAGATCATTCAATATTTTATTGTCATTCTGCTGAAAAGTGTGTTTATTAAATGGTCTATGTTGATGACATAGTTATTACAGGAAGTGATGCTACCATAATTTCTCAACTAAAAGAGCATTTATTCAGCCATTTTCAGACTAAAAACCTTGGTAGTCTGAAATATTTTCTTGGTATTGAAGTGGCTCAATCAAAGGAAGGTGTTGTCATTTCACAAAGGAAATATGCTTTTGATATTTTGAAGGAAACAGGTTTGGAAAATTGCAAGCCAATTGAT